GTTGTTATGTACTGTCGAGTCAGACCTGACTCATAGCGACCCCTCCTTGGGTTTCCGAGGCAGTATCACTACGGAAGTAGATTGCCCCATCTTCCTTCTGAGAAGTGGCCAGTGGGTTTGAACTGCTGGCCTTCTGGTTAGCAGTCAAGTGCCTTACGCATTATGCTACCAAACCCCCTGAGCAGGACTTTTTGTTTGTTTGTTTGTTTATGCTTCCTTTCCCGAACAAACCCTTGATATATTTTCATGGATAATCCTCTCACATGAACCCTATGAAGTCATATTTAAGGAAAAGAAAACCTGTGTGATGCGATAGAATAAACCACTACCTTTCCTGGGAGGGAGCTGATTATCAATTTGCATTCTGGGCTGCAGTTGCTTCTCTTCTTGCTGAGGGGTTGAGATTCTGTACACTAAGAGTGCAAAACACATTAATGTCAGCATCATATAGGAAGACAACTGACCCAATACCACACAATACGCCTCTTTAATTCAAAACATGCATCAGAGCAAAATTTGCTTTATCAAATAACTGCCAATCCACCCCATCGTGTAATTCCTTTGATAATTCACTTTTATTACTTTTTTTTTTTTTTTTTTGGTTAAATATATACAGAAAACAAACACACAAAAAACCCTGCCAATGACAAGGGGCAATGTTGTGGTGGCTTCTTGGCCACAGCCAGTGTGGTAGTTATTATGTTTGTGTGTCATCTTGGCCAGGCCTGATTGAGTGGCTGGGAAGCTGGTGCTACTTATTCCCCATAATGAGACTGGCAATCAGCTTCATGGTGGGATATACCACAAGCAGCTGAGTAGCTGCCTTTGAGATGTGGTCTGCTTCCTGTATATAAGGAGAAGCCCTGGGAATGGTCTCTAGCCTACGGCACACTTGGACCCTGCATGTAGCCATGTCACTGCTCAGCAGCCTGCTATGCTCTGCCGACCTTGGGACTTATAATGGACTTAAGTTAATGGCCTGCCATGTGGTTTGGTAACATTTTTATTTGTCAACCTTGGGGTTTCTCAGCCTCAGCAGCCAGCAGCTGTCTGAGTGAAGAAATGCCTCTAGCGCCAGTGGGCCGGGAGCAGGAGATGGAGCTGGACCCCAAGTTAAGGGGCTTTCACCCAGCCCCTAGAACCTGGCACTTTGAACTTGGACTTGAAGCCTCTAAATTGTAAGACTAAACTCTTGTTTGTTAAGGCCATCCCATTTGTGGCATATTTCTTGTCAGAGCAGCACTAGGTAATCAGAACAGCCAGCTACCTGGAGAGAGTGAGTAGTTGGACCTGTGGGCTCAGGACCATGGTTGCAGGGTACATCAAGCTCAACTGGCATAACATACAACACAAAACATTGTTCTACATCCTACTTTGATAAGTAGAAACTGGGATTGTAAAAGCTTGTAAGCAGTTATCCAGATGCAAAGATGGGTCTCTCCTTGTCCAGAGCAAAGAAGAACAAAGAAAACCAAAGATGCAAGGAAACAATTAGTCCAAAGGACTGGTAGATCATGCCATCCTCAGCCTATATGACCATAAGACCAAAAGAACTAAATGGTGCCTGGCTGCCACTGTCAACCACTCAAAGGGGTATTGGTACAGGAGATCCTGGATTGAGTGGGAGAACACTGTGGAACAAACAAAACTCAAAATCATTAAAAAAAAAAAAAGGCCAGGTTTGCTTGTCTGATAGAGCCTAGTGAGACCCCTGAGACTATGGCCCTTAGCTGCCCTTCAAGTCTGGAATGGAACTCACTCCTGTAGCTTCAAGCCAAACAACAGACAGCCAGACAACAGACAGGTGAACGTTTACATCAGATAGATAGACTACTTGGAGTGATCAATCATGAGAGAACAGAAGGGCAGTTTTTGCAAAGGGAGACAGCTCAGGGGGCACAGGGAAGAGGTAACTATGGGGAGGAAGTAGGAAGAGAGCTGTTACATTGTGGGGAATGGCAGTCAATGTCATGAGACAAAATGTGTATAAACTGCTGTATGGAAAATGAATTTTCTCTGTAAACTTTCAGCCAAGTCACAATACAATTTTTAAAAAAAAACAACCCTGCCAAGCCAGAATTTTATTTCAGTGAAAATATCCCTTAAATATGAAAAAGAAATGAATGTTTTATCAAACAAGCAAAAACAGAGAATTCATTGCCAATAGACCTGACATTGAAGGAATGCTAAAAGAAATTTTTCAGGCAAGTAGAAAATTGGCTGAAGAGGAAGGAAAAAGAGTGGAAAAGGAATAAAGGATAAATTCTTTTCCTTTTCTGATCTCTTGGTCTATTCTCACACCCCACATGTATACACACACCACATAAACCACACACCACTCATTTACATACATCCACCACACATATACAGGTAGTCCCTGACTTATGACAGGGTTCTGTTCCTACATCACCACAGTAAGTCAGTTCTGACATAAGTTGAATACCTCCCCCCCCTTTAATTTTCATAGCCCACTATAGAGTAGTGTTTTGAACAGTAAATCTTAACACTGAACATCTGAGAATGATAACATCAGCAGATTACATGCTGCCACATTGTATGTCGTATATATTACTGACAATAAGATGTACCAAATCTTCCTTCTGAGAAGTGGCTGGTGAGTTTGAACTGCCAGCCTTCTGGTTAGCAGTCAAATGCGTTAGGCACTATGCCACCAGAGTTCCCATTGTAAGTGCAGTTTGTCATAACTCAAATATGTCATAAGTCAGGAACTGCCAGTATACCACACAATACACATACCACAGACACACATACACATGCACCCCATCACATACACCATGGACACACCACAACATTCACAGATACACAGCACCACACACCCCACACACTTTCACTTTTCTTGTAAATTCACACAACTCTTTGCTTCACACAAATCTACTGGAATATATTCTTTCTTTTCTCCCTGATGGAAAGCCTTGGAGGGAAGATATGTGTATAATTGTTTCCCAAAAATGTCCTCAAATCTCTGATAAAATCTGTGCCACAGAAGGCAGCCTTATTTCCCTCTGGAGAACCAATTACTTATTAATTTCGTTTAATAAGTAGTAAGACTAACCTGATTCAGGATAGAAAAGAGATTCCTTCTTCCTCTGCAAAGATTTTTCTCTCAATTACAAAATAGTGAACTTCTGAAATTACTAGTCCAGCCCTTTAAGTCCTTCACTAAATCCTTTGACCTCACTATATCAAAGTTAAAAACTTAATTTTTAACTTCACGTTCACCCTTGCTTTGATGGCTGTGAATCTAAAAATAATCAGATGGACTAGAAACTCCTGTGAATCTTCCAGTAATTTCACAGCCACATTAGGCAGATACTGGTAGTCTCTCTCCCTGCCTGCTCCATAAGCACTCCCAGGATTTTCTGTTGAGGATGGCTCTGGGTATATAATGCTATTCTGACATGAAATACTATGGATTTCTAAATGTCCTACAAATGACCTGCTAAGTTTTTTTTTTTCTCTCTTTCATTCCTCTCTTCTTTTTTCCCCCTTTCTCTCTCCCTTCACTCTTCCTTTCTTTCTTCCTTCCTTTCTCTCTCCTTTCCCTTCCTCTTCCCTTCACTTCTCTCTCTCACTCTCTCTCTCTCTCTCTCTCTGTCTCTCTCTCTCTCTCTCTCTTTCAATTGTCACATCTGTCTGACATTCAACATATTCAGAAAAAGGCACATTTTATTAAGGCATATTCTCTAAACGGTGTTACTTCCCTCATGGTTTCTTCTGCAAAAACTCTGTAAGTTCTTCTGATTCATCTACCTGTCTCTAGTAATACCTGGAAGTACATCTTACTTTGAAGACAACCTAATGATAACTTAGGAACATCTAACCCCTTCAATACACTACTACCTGTCTGTCAGTTTGTTGTCCTATGGTGACTTACACATTGTTATGATGCTGGAAACTATACTATCAGTATTTTAAACACTGGTGGGTTCACTCATAGTGGGCAGGTTTCAGCAGTGCTACCAGAATAAAACAGAAGGCTTGGTATTCTACTTCCAAGAATCAGCTAATGAAAACCCTATGAATCACAACATAATATTGTCCAATGTAGTGCTGTAAGATAAGTCCCCTAGGTCGGGGACACAGTAGCCACAACAATAGACTCAAACGGACCAATGTTCATGAAGATGACACATGACCAGGTAATGTTTTATTCCACTATACATAAGGTTACCGTGTGTTGGAGCTAACTCATTGACAACTGTTTTGGTCTTCTAGTGCTGCTCTAACAGAAAATACCACAAATGTATGGTTTTAACAAACAGGGATTTATTTTCTTATTTCTCTAGGAGGCTAGAAGTCTGAGTTCAAAGTGTCAGCTCTAGGGGCTGGGTGAAGGCCCTCGACCTTGAGCGTCAGCTCTACCTCTTGCTCCCAGCCCACTGGAGCTGGAGGCTCCTCTTAATGCAGGCAGCTGCTGGCTGCTGAGGTAGACAGACCCAAGGTCAACAAGTAAAATAACACAATCCCAAGATTATCAAGCAACATGGCAGGCCATTAGTTCAAGTCCAGAAAGAGTCCCAAGACTGGCAGAAAACATGGCAGTCTGCTGAATGAAGACTTGGCTAAATGCAGCATCCCAGCATACCAAACAGCTCAAGATCTTTCTCGAAGTGTCTTCTTATACACTGGAAGTAGACCACATCTCTAAGACAGCTGCTCACCTGCTCACAGCAGATTCTGTTACGGGAAATAACTACATCCAGCTACCCAGCCACTCCAAATCAGGCCCAGCCAAGATGACACATGACCTTAATTACCACAACTAACAACAAAAAGCATCCCTTCAATCGGTGATTTTTCACAATAGATAATTTATTACATAGTTAACAAGCACTGTTTTTTTTATTTTTATTTTGCTTTTAAAGTGCCCAATACACTCTTGGCACATAGCAGGTGCTCTATAACAGAACCAGTTATTTTCTCCCTTGATTTTTTTTCTTTTTTCATTTAGATTTTGTCTCTTTTAGAGCTCCAGGTTCTTGCTGATCCTTTGCTGCATGTCCCAGGATGTTGACACTGTTTATTGTTCAGGAAACCAAAGTTGTTGACACTTCTCTGGAATCAGAGCCCTTTTACTGGTTGAAAGCTCTGGTTAGCAGTTGTTCAATGTCCATGTTTTAAATAAACATCTGCTGTCAGT